GGGGGTGGTAAGTTTGTGCGCCCTCCCCCCCCCCCCTTCCCACCATACAAACGTCTTAAACTTGGCAGTTTTGCTAATTTAAATGCGCTCATTCCAGTGGAGTAGATTTTCCTTAACTGATCCGTGCTAAAAGTTGAAAAGAACCGTGGAAAGGTTTATTTGGCATAAGCTAAAATTAAATAAATTATTCTTTCTGCCTTGCTTGAAGCATCTGCTTTATATACATGGATTTTGTCAGCTTTCTATAGAAAAGACTTAAATGTAATTGGGGCGCTAGATTAGCACATTATAGAAAACCTTGTTTTCATTAATTCATTTTCTTTCACCGAACGGAACATACTTTGGATATACATCTATAATGGTGTTTTCAATGTGTTTCATGTAAAGCCTTTAGATAAACTTAAGGTATGTTTTTGTTTTTTCCATGTACAGCCACTAGTTGGGCACAATATTGGTAACTGACTTCTTGAATATTTTAAAAATATTTGAAAATCTTGCTCCATCTCATCCTGACAGAGGAACAGGTTATCTATTAAAGAGAAAGTCATTAAAGAAATATTTAATTGAAGGCTCTAAAGCGGGCCAATCTTGATACCTTAAGGGTTCACAATAGAAAAAAACATCAGCAAGCAAAGTGCTGTGTAAGGCCCTGCTAACACTTTAAGTCCGCCCCACATTTCCCACAAAACCTATCTCCGGATCGAGGCTTTGTTCCACATCGGAAGCATGTGGAGACCTCGTGCTCGGTAAAATTGGTTTCTTCTGGCGAATGAGGTGAACTCGAGTATGAGGACAAAAATCCAGTTCTTAAAAGGCCACTTGCATTACTAAAACTGGTTAATTCCCCTTCCTCGCCCGCACCTCTGTGGCCGTGCACTGAAAGGTTTCTCAGATGGTGAGGGAATCGCAATCCTCCATGGGGCTGCGGAGAAAAAACTCGCACAGAGCTTAAAGGATGTGTCGTTGTCTTAGTAATCCCGTTCAGTGACATCATCGGTAAGGTGGGTGGCATTGTGGAAAGAAGAGTTGGCTTGGCTCCCGGGAATGGAACGCTGGGATAGCTTGATCCTAAAGGGATACTGGGTACGCTAGAGCCTGGCGATACAGGAAGATCCACTGAATGGTTCTTGCCAGCCAGGATACACTCGATTGCCTGTACCACATCACCGCTACATCCTTTCAAAACAAGCTCCAAGACATTCTCCTTATGTGAAGGAAAAACCTTGCTAAGGACTTCCAGTGGACGAGGAGGCTTGCGTCGTTTCAACGCCGATTCACCGAGGCTTTTCTGCAGAAGTTTAATAGTGTAGTCAAAATCATCTTGGTCCCGAAACGTTGAGCTCCATGGCAACTGTAACGGTGGCCTTTCACTTTCTTTCCTGATGTGATCAGCACGTGGCTGACAGCTATCGTGCACGTGATGGCGTGGTGACGGAGAGCGTGAAGTTACACCATTAGCGTGAGGCGGAGACGCGCTTCTTGCCATTCGTTTAGATGGGGGTTCTTCACTTGGTTCTCCTGTGCAAGAAACTGTCCCATTTTCTCGGTATTCCGGGTCCACTTTCTCTTCTTTTATAAATAGGGGTTCTTCTCCTTTTTTTTCTGTGGATTTTATAAGGAATTTAAATTAGATTCCGTAAAACAAATTGCTTTATTTTTCGCAGATAGGAATTATTCTCGTTCAAGGAGTTTTTGTCCACTGAAAATCAAACTTACCCAATTTCCTGGTGAGTTCCATCTTAAAATAGCCGTCGATCTATCGCTAGATTTAGCAAAGACAACGCATGCGCAACTTCAAATAAGAGATCGAAAGCCTTCGGAAAAAGAGACATCGATGATATAAAACCATACCACACAATTATATTCAGAAGTTTAGAAGTTTCAATAAACTCGCCATATTATAAGAATTGCGAGTTTTCCTCCAAAAAATAGAAGATCCCTTTAGCTGTTCAAGTAGTTTAACCTTTTGCTCTTGCGAAAGAAACATACTTCGGGAAACTCGTCTAAAAATTCTGGCGTGTTATGGATATGGATCGACTACCAATTGTCACTTGCTCTCACCTGTTGGATTGTACCAGTGAAAAGTGTTAAATACATGTAACGAAGCACAATATTTTTCGCCTCCTTTCGGTGTGTTACTATTTCTGCCCAATGTCTAGAGAATTTGTTTGTTCGTTTGATATAATTTGAGTCGTATAGTGAATTCCAGTGAATATAGCTTATTAGTAATGGTTTTGTAACTAATGAAAAGTCAACAAATATTTTGTACTTGCTCAAGTACCTACCGGGTGGTATGATTGTTTTTACACGCTAGTTTTTCTCCCGAGTAATAAATATTTTGGTTTACATAAAGTAATGTGGCTAAGTGAAGAACGTTTGCCTATTTTTAGGTTCTTTAATAGGAGATGTAAAAATATTGCAAAACTATATCTCAGTTCTATTTTAAGATCATCATATTTTAACAAAATTGTCTACGGTCCTTTTGAAAAAACGTAGTTCATTGCATATCTGAATTGAAATGCCGCATAAAGATATCTGCCAATTCAACAATACAACTTTAAACTTCTTTTTGTTATTGCTTCAATTTCATTTAGAACAGAGCCTTAATTTATTCACCGATGTGAAAAGAACAAATTCCGTTGCAAGATAAACTTTAATAATAGACAAAAACATGCCATCAAGTTCTCCAGCTTAAAAATAATACATTTGATTTCATCATGTTTTCCGGAACAAAAGAACTTTATGCAATGTTTGATTTCAACATAAGCCCAAGCTTTTGTCTTTTGAAATTAGCTTCCGTTGAACTTTTACATTTCACACCTTTAATTCCCCAGTAGTAACAAACTAATAATTTCGACTCACGTACTACAATCAAAGCTGTTCTATTAACCTCAGAAAGTATAAAAATTTTAAATTACCTTCAGTGATGGGACAAGAAGCTGGTCTCACAGGTTCAGCCGGTGGAGTTGAGGGCAAAATGGAGTTAACCGCTCTCTGCGTGAAGGAAGGATACGGAAACTCGCGTTCTCCGCTTCCACGCGTGTATCGCGCACATGATATCGATTCGTACGGCTCAATTCTCGTTTGATGGCGTAAAAGCGCAACCCTCGCCGCCGTGATTCTCTGACGCTCCGCTATCAGTAGGCACTTTGGGCAGACACAATCCCGCCATTTGCAGTAATGTTTATGGCCTTTTAAAGAGGACACTACCCCGTGATTGCGACAGCGAGCGCATTTTGGAGCGCGTAGCGTATTGTTGCCCGATGAACTTTCAGATGTGGCAGCGCTCATGGTGATAAAAATCTGCGTCAAATTTCAGATGATTACAATGTTTCTTCTGAAGTAAACGGTTTCACAGAACGTGCCGTAACAGTTTAAATGGCGATCAACTGACGAAACTTGGTGTCGGGTTAAAATGATCACTGCTTAAATGTCACCGCCTAATTAACGGGACATGTTTTACCACAATTAAAGACTTCTCATTGGCCTACTCGTGATCAATTATTCAAGACTATTGTTAATGCGCTGAGACTGATAAGCTATCCTTAAAAAACTGTACAAAGTATAAATAAAAAAAGTTCCATTATGTAGCTTCTAACAGGACAAAAGCCGATAAGATGTTAAGAGTGCTTCTTTAAATACCCTAACCGCTGGAGTTTCGAATCTATCGATTGAAAAGCTACGTGGATTTTTCAGCGCACAGATTTATTTTTATTAATGTTCAGTGGTATGGAAGTAACATAATTTATGTATGACTATTGTTTCAATTCTCTGCCCTGCTCGCATCGTGCGGGTTGTAAGAAGCAATTTGTTCTTTTGTAAGGAAGTGGTAAAACCGGTCGAAAACTATAGAAATTGTTCTTTCGTGCCAGGTTTATTCTTTCAAACTTCTCGAAAAATCACCCAAGCATTCCGTCATGTACCGGCTGACACAAAGAAGCTGTCAACCAAAGCAACAACTTGTTTCCACCTCGAAGAAATTGTCTTCAATTAACACGAATTCTGAGACTAGCGCTTGGGCAAAATTTTTTTCTGACCAATATATGATCTGGTCACCCCAACAGGGCCGCGAGATATTTCCTCAGTGTAGTTAAAGACAAAACTGGTTATAGTTAAGAGACAAACGTACATCATTAATAAGTTATATATAATATTGGAATGGTGTTTACATTTTCGAGAGCAAATGATCGCCTTTTCTAGTGCCTTTGGCTCGTCCCTACTTGTTACATGTAGCAGAAAAAAAGATTTCTGCCAACTCTTTTGTTTACTCGAGAACTTTCTTAACACAGGTTTCTTTGTTGATACACTTAAATGTACCGTTTCTAACAACGAATTTCACGCTAAAGGAGACTTTACAACCACTAAAAAAGATTAAACCATGAAACCATGTTGCTCGGCTAGACTGGGAAGACGAATTGATTCACTCCCGGCACAGTAGGCGTGAGCTATTCTTGGCACTTTTAACATTACTTTGCCTTGAAAATAATATAAATTACTTCAGTGTTTTGAAAATGCAAACTAAGCAAGAAGCGCCACATCATGGACTGATTACAGCGATAACTTGAGTCGAATCAAGGGAGAATTATAATACGACATCAGTAAAATCTCTTTCTTGAATCTATTCAGTGTCAGTGTTCTCGAAGTCTCGCTGATCACCAGCGACTATGTCTACGCCAAACATACGCTTTTCTTCTTCTGAATAGTCTCAAAGAGGTTTCATTCAGTACAGTATGTATACACTTTTGTTGTTCTAAATTAAGAAATCAGAAAATCTAAGACCACCTAGCGTGAATGACTAAACAAGAACTAACACTTTGTCCCTCGCTATGGGAAGCCAGCGATTTACCAGCTCTTTCCAGTGTTTCAATTAATATTTTAAAATGTAGCAAGTTAAAAAGAGGAAATTTGTAAATCAAAACAAATCGTTATATAAAACAACGAATACTCGATCCATAGCATTTATGAATATCGCATTCCAGAATCTTGGGAAGATGGTCAAATTTCAGAAATAATTGCACATTTTTAATTACTTTTTGATACTGTTTGTGATTCTATTGTCCGACTGCTAAAATGTCATTTTCCCGTAAAATTTCTTTCTAACAATATACATTATGTTGACCATTAAAATCTATATTTACCAATAAATCCGACTGTGATGTTTCTTTTTGAAAACTTTTCCTTTATAGTTTCATTTTTCCAAGGACGTAATTCCTACCCGGAAGTTTTCCAAGCAACCTACGTAGTATAAGGTGAGTCACTCCTCGGGGCGATCGAAACAAAGCGCAAAACAGCACAAAAATATTTGAAAAATACTCGGAAGAAATGCAACAAACAAAGTAAAGCTAAAGCGCTTTCGTTTTCGATCTGGCAAGGTTATCGGGTGGATCTCTTTCTGTACCGCGAAAAAAACACTACATGTACATTTTGTATGACATGGAGGGAGTTTCTTAGAAACACCAACACAGCAACGTAATACAAGCGAACTCTCTTTGGCTTCTTCTTTATCTGTTTTCAAAGGATAAAACTTCCTTAAAGAGCATAAAGAAAACGCATCATAATAGTGGTAACATGGTAGGATCTGCTAGCACTGTTGAACTTTAATGAGAAGTGGCGGCGTTCTTTTGAATTGTCAGCTTCAAAGCTCGATGAAATTTCCACGAACAAAACGGCCCGAGCGAAAGCTTCATTTGTCCAAGTTACTCTTCGGTATTTTCAGAGAGCAAACAATTTGTATTTTTAAATCTAAATCCTAGCAAGTAGGTGTCTATCTGTTACTATCTTGTTCTTAAAGAGAACTTATAAGTGGAAGAATAAACAAACGTTTTATTGATGTAAAACAACCCTGAAATATTCTTACAAAACTGTTTATCAACCGGTGCTCTACAGGTGGCTGTAATCATAGTTTACTGGCTATTTGTTTCCAATTAGGATACCAGAGTTAAGCGTCATAACTGATCTTCAAGATTGAAAGTTTTGTTTCTATTGACGGGTTTTTTCTGCCAAGTGGGCGCGACGAATTTCAGTCGCGACTCTTTCCGATCCGAATTTTGAAGTAAGGACTGTTTCTCAATTTTGTACATTTCAACTTCAGAGCGTGCAGCTACGCATGTTGAATTCTTTTTAAATCAGAATAAAGTTTTCAAAGGTTGTAACGTTTGTCGGCGTTTCAAATGCGTTTTGATTTTTGTCCAACAGGACGTGGTTACGGGAAGTTTGCAGTCGTAATATTTTTCAATTCCAGTTGAGCACAGCAGATAAAAATTGAGAGCTTTCGCTGTTAAAATTTCCCAGTTTTCTTTTATTTCCAAGCTTTTAACATAACCGATACTGCTGTACAGGAAAAAGGAAGGGCGGAGTTATGTAAAGCGATTCTTTGATTTTAACACCAGAAGTGAACAGTTACATAATTAATGAAAGTTTTAACAATCTGCTCTTCAATCTAACGCCTCCTTTTGAAGCCAACTCGCTACACCTGTCCGTTAAATTCACGTTTATGCTCCTCATTGTCCAAAACAACATGGCTCCAGCTGGACGTGCTTTGTGCAGTTTTTATTGTTTTATCTTACCTGGAAAAAAGAACGTGAATTTTCTTTCTTTGGTATACTTCAGCAGTCTCGTTTCTAGAACCGAAGCTGTGATACATTTCGTGCATCATGCAGTATCCGTGCTGCCGCGGTCAAGCAGAGGAAGATTGGGGAGCTGAGCAAATATTTTCATCAAAGCCGGCTGTTATTTGGAAATCAAGTATTAAATGGTTATACAACACCCGAGAGAAATAAGTAACGTTCTAGAAAAGATGGATGGCGCCAACTGCTAAGGTGAAAAACCATTGTTAGTTCCACCCTTTCATGCAATTAGTTTACTAGAGCTTCACAAACCAGGATGTATATTTATTTCTAGTTTCCTAGCTAACTTCCTTGTAACAAAATATCTTTCGAATCTCGATAAAACAGAAATCCTCTGAGTTAGTGGAACAAAAAGATTCTTTTAAAGTGGAGTCAAAAGTCGTTTTATCTCGTTAAGTGCTCTCCAGTATAGCTTTATGCATTTTCTGTGTGAAAAATTAAAATATTCTTGTGTGTTCAAAGTGTATTTTCGCTTAATAAAAAAATATTGCTATAGTTTCTACCTAGATCATTACTTCAAGTACTCGTGTGCGCCTTAAGTTCCCTACAGCCTCCGAACCTACAGCCTCCCAGTCTTCATAAGTGATCAGTCTGCGATTTCTTCTTGCCCGACAATAGCGCGTTTAGTAATAAAGTAATGGGCAAGTAATGATAACAATTATACAAAATCATTGCCAGAGATTAACATTTAAGGGCAAAGTTACCACAAATAATAATTTCTTAACGATTTATTTTTAGGCTTTATTTACAAGAGTAAACGAAGATGAAAATACCACAAAAAAAGTCTCGTGGTTTCTAAAACGCTGAAAGTTTCCATGTTCGCCTATTCGTAGAAAATGTTACCTAGATTCCATGTTCTCAAGCACAGTACGATCAACTTGTTTTCCCACACTTGGCAGTGATTGTCCTTTTCTACGAATCTGCTTGGTTTATTGGATTATCTAGGTTTGTTATCGATAAAATGTCATTCATTAGCTTGGTTTTCGTCTAACGGCAATCTTAAGACACAACAACGTTGGTAAAACGCATACCAACAAGAACGAACCATCACAATTTTCTTGTCCATTAGAATATCTCTTCGGCGCGGTCATTTTTGTTGGTATTTATACACGAAATGGGGGAAGAATCATTTGATAAGTCTCTCCTTGAAGTGAATCCGCTTAATTACAGGCCATTCCCAGTACCCAGTACAAAAAGGTCGAAGTTAGAGACATCAGAGCGCCATTTTTCGTCCCTCGATACTGATACCAACCGCTCTTTGTGATCCTTGGTTGAGGAGCTTTTTCTTTTCATCGAACTTTCTCTTCTGTTTTTCATATCTGTTCATGGACTTCTGTGGTTTCTGGAATAAGCAACAAAAAAATGAAATTAAGAAAGGCAAGATCTGGGAATTGGTGTGTTGCTAAGGGGGAGAGGCTGGGATTAACAGTGTGATCTCAGCAGTTTTTTTACGGCCATTCCTTCCACCGACACAGGCCTTTCGCTTCAGTGTAGAGAGAAGAAGTAATTACATCACGTTGTCATGGTAGTAAAATTTCTGAATGACAACAAACCGAAAACGTCACTTAAAAAGTGAATTCACACTGTTTCAAACATCATCGATTTTATTCAATTTCATTGAATTTGTCAAATATTGGCGAAATTTCCGGGGTTGAATCCGAAAGGAAGGTATCTAAGTGTACAAAAAGGAAAAGAAATTTTTTACGTTGTATTCACCTGCTCCATAAAGCGGGCGCGTGAAATTAGGAAGTTTCATGTAGCAGTCGTGCAACGACGGCAAAGAAATGTGCAAAAAAGCGTGATGCACGTGCAAAGTTGTTGTTTTGCTTATCTAAACCTTTTACTTTTTTGCCATTCTCGTTGCCGTCGCCATCGTCGTTGCTTAAGCTCCCTATATATTGTTGTCATCCAAAAATTTTGCTACCATGGTAACGTGACGTCACACTTCTCCTCTCTATTGGCCATATGCTGTTTCGAATTGCACTTTGGGAATATTTTTGATTGAAAAATTTTAACCTTGTTTCCTGCGCAACTTTACACTGGCCAATAAAAGAGACAATAGCGTTTCTAAAACAATCCCATAGTGCACTTCGACATAAAACCGTCCCAGTCCCACGCACAACCTCAAAATGGTTACCGGTAGTAAGGAGCTTAAGCAAAGACGTTTTTGGATGACGCAAGTCAACCGGGAGTGAAGACTCTTTCCTGTTCATATACCTTGACGCCACCATATTTGTCTTGTTAAGTGTCTACTCGTATAGAGACGAGAAAATGAAAATGAGGGCAGAATCGCTGCCCAAGAATACAACAAGTCCAGTCCCGGTTGACGTGCATCGCTCATAAACGTTCTTGCTCAAGCTCTGTAATATTGTCCCCGACTTCGTGCACCTTCTTGGCTTCGCCCCGCTCAACCTCCCATCAGAGGGCCTATTCAGAGTTTCCTTATGAACAAAGAATTTTTCACGCCCGTCCACTGAAGAAAAGGGTAGTAAAAGCACCCCTCAAAGTGACACTTACTTTAAGCACTTACATGAAATAGCGCAGGTTCTAACCATCTCGGCGTCACGTAAAACAGCGCTAACCCTTTCGCTAGCTCTCTCTCTTTCAAAAGCACAGAGTTGCGTGACAAATGCAGGGCCGCAACTGAAGGCTGAGGCGATAAATTTTTTTAGCAGAAAAAGACTTTAGTATTTTCTTTTTTACGCTTGATCAGTGTTTTTTTTTTTTGGCCTTTAGACTCAAGTGCATGGTTAGAGGATTGAGATAATTGTAATTTCTACTTACTCTGCTGAAGTCCGTCCGTTCAATGCTGTTCTGTGGTCTCACAACGTAATCCTTGTTTGAAGGCATAGGAACGCGGGCTCGCATTACAAAACCCTTGTCACCAGGCCTAACCGCTCTGATAAGAGAGCAAAGCATGTCTGTTAGTGAAGTTCAAAGCTGAAGAATTCAAGAAGCAAATTATAAAGCTGTTATAAAAATGAAAAGGACTCAACTATACTTACTTTTTATCGCTTTGCAGTGCAGAATCAATGGATTTTGGTGTCTTCCCTCCTTCGCTGTCCACAGAACTAAATAACAAACAACAAAAGATTTTTAAAGGAACAATGTCACGCCATTTGCGTTCATATTTTTAAAAACGCTAAAAAGCGTCTTCGCATCAACTGAATTCCAAACATGATCGTCCGGTTTTGATATTTAAAACTATATTTAGTCATCGAAACTGTCTCCTGCCGCTGATCTGTTGCTACGCTGGGATGGCAAGGACAGACACGGATTGAAAATTGGATATGCTGGGCCAGCTATTAAAAGATTTACTCTTATGACTGCAAACTGAAAATCACCAAAAAAGTATTATGGTTAGTGCTCCCTGGTGAAATTTGTTTGACATTTTCATAACTCTACAGGTGCATTTTGTGTATTGAAGACAGAATTGACCTGAAAATAAAAATATTCTCCCTTTAAAAAAGGAAGAATTTTAAATAATAAAACTGTCGTCATTTTGTTAAGCACAATCACGTGACTGTCACAATCACGTGAACAGTACCTTAGGCGCCTTTTCTTGGACATGTTTTGATAATCTCGCTCTTCTCTTTCCTCTCGACTGAGCGACTTGAAGTTGGATGTAACACCAAATATTGGCCTAGCCCATTCATCTGCAACAAAACAATCGCTGTAACATTATTTTTGAAATGTTACCACTAGGAAACATAACAGATCTCAGTTCAGCCACTATTACGGAGCATGTTTCTTCTCTCAACAACCAACTGCTGTTCGTAAAACGCGACGGGTCGAAAACGTAGCAACTCGCGAGCTTTTGCGTCTCTGACCGTTGCTCGTAAAGCGCGAAGGGTCGAAAACGTAGCAACTCGGGCGCTTTCGTGTTTCTAACCACTGCGGTCGAAAACGCTTTCGAGTCTCTTCCCAGTATCACTCCCCGTCTTCACGCTCGGCTGATAAGTGATCGCATTCTAGACCATAACGCCAAATCGGTACAGGTATACCATACTTACTGATAAGTTTTCCAGCCAATTTCTTGTTCTGTNGCTGTAACATTATTGTTGAAATGTTACCACTAGGAAACATAACAGATCTCAGTTCAGCCACTATTACGGAGCATGTTTCTTCTCTCAACAACCAACTGCTGTTCGTAAAACGCGATGGGTCGAAAACGTAGCAACTCGCGAGCTTTTGCGTCTCTAACCGTTGCTCGTAAAGCGCGAAGGGTCGAAAACGTAGCAACTCGGGCGCTTTCGTGTTTCTAACCACTGCGGTCGAAAACGCTTTCGAGTCTCTTCCCAGTATCACTCCCCGTCTTCACCCTCGGTTGATAGGTGATCGCATTGTAGACCATAACGCCAAATTACGCTTTTCGGCAGTTATTTTTCATTTGCAAGTCTTGACGAACTGCGAATTTGCAATCTTCTTTCCCTTGCCCGAAAATTCTGCTGACATAATTTGGTACTACACAACGAATCAACGAATAAAAGGGATTGCGGTGAACAATTTATAAACTTTAGTTTATTGTTTCACTGATTATGATCTGTTGACTGCCCTGTTCACACAAAATTCGGCACAGGTATACCATACTCACTGATAAGTTTTCCCGCCAATTTCTTATTCTGTCTGGTCTCTTTTGGGTGTCGACACAAATACATGACTGCTTTTCCAATGCCGCTCATTTTAAGAGCTCTTCCGTCCAGTGAGGGAAACTAAAAACAGAAGATACAAGGCGATTTTTGCATGATTTGGGAATGATAAAGTGAACAAATATCAACAACATTTCTTGAGGTGGCGGGGGATGAGCGCACCGTCAGCCTCAGGTTTGTTAGTCAGATGACTATTTCGAGCTACCGACGTAAAATAAGAACTCTTCACCTTTACCTTTTCTGGAAAGGGATAGCAGTTTTAAGAGGCAGGCAGAATCTTCCATCTGTCATGGCCAACAGATGGGAATGGGACAGACTTATCTAGCCTGCGTAGATGGCGGTATTGTGTAGCAGTCGAGTGAGATTTGGCGTCGAAAGCCGCGAGAACGCCTCGTCCCCACTCCATATTCTGGATCACGGCTCTGCCGCCAAAACTTAAATCGCGCACCGAGACAACACCGCTAGCTACGCAGGCTAAGACTTATCACATCGGTGCGGGTGCGGGTGCGCCCGAAATAGATAGATAAACAGACCACATGACTGAGACAACAGCAAAAAATAAAAACAAAACCTACCTCGTCCAGAGTTTTAAGCAAACCTTCTCGAATCTGTAGATGAGGTAGCGAACCGTCTGGCAAGGGACTTAGCCAGTCCTAAGTAAAACAAAAAAATAATCAAAAGGTGACATTAAATCCAGCTTGCAGTGCATGTATCCATTCCAATTTGGCATTTTTTTTCCTTCACAGGACTCTTAAGCTCATGATTGAGTGCCTTTGCCTTTAGCCTTGATTAATTTATCAAAAATGTGTAGATTCAGTGAGATCTTCCTAAAAACCTCAAGACTTTGGAAGTTTGAATTTTATGATTTTTACTAAATTTTGTATAACCAGGGGCACTGCCAGTTTTTCGACTAGTTGTAGGCCTGGCTGACTTTAATTTCCACATATCCTCAAAATTGCATGCATGACTAGTATGCAGCGACCTCACAAACACTTTGAGCTCTTAAGCTTTTTAGCTCACCCCAACAATGCATAATTTATTACAAGCGGTAGAGTGATCAAACCAAAAATTTGTAGGCCTGGGGCTACAGGTCTATGGGCTGACTATGCCCCTGATAACCATTATTTAATCCCTGGACTAGAACTGAATGGAAATTGAGGTGCATACTCCCAAAGTAATTGCATATTAACTCATGTTTTTTCAGGTCCACAACCCATTGTACACATACCTTCAAAACAGGCAAAACTCCGAGATCAAGAAATGTCATTTGTAGATCAGCCCTGAAACAAGAGATTTACAAAACTATAAATTCTTCAGAAAATTATTCTAGTGCTTAACTGGTAGATAGGACAATCTGAGGTGTTTTGGCAAATGCTGGGACGAAAATGCATTCCTATTCCGTGCACGGTATACCTGTTTAGTGGTGTTGCTGGTTTGTTGGGGGGGAGGGGAAGGGGTCTGAGGGAGATGGAGGGGGAGCCTCACGGAGCAGTGAAACTCCAAGGAGAATGGGTTGCTCATTTGCAGTGCATACTTTCTTTTTATTTATTTCTTTTATTTTATTTATTTTTTTTAGTGCATACTTTCACAGCTTTGCTTCTCATTTGAGCCCTCACGAGACAAAACTGTCAGCTACCTAGGCTAACTGGTGGATAGAATTTGGAACAAAAATAAAATGACATTAACAAAAGACTCACTTATGAAGGTGCCGTAATACAGATGGAAGCATTTTGAGTTTCTTTGTTGCCACCTGTTTTGCACCATTTAGCATTTGGTCCTCCTGAAAATGAAATACATCAAAAGATCAGATTGTGACAAGGATTTTTAAAACCCTAGTTTGGAACAAGACGTGAATACTAAGTGATTAGTAGAAGCCATGAAATGTTTCTGAGCAGGGTGGGGCAGGTGTATTTTTTGTTCATGGGGTGCAACTTGTGCACACAGTTAAATCCAGTAATCTCCATCCTTCCAAGCTGATGCATAATTACTTGCTTCCTACTACGTAGACCCATGCTGTCATGATAGGT